ACAAGGAAGCCAGCAACATCTTACAAAGAGCTAGGCGAGCCAATTCTTTCTTAGAGGAGCTTAAAGCAGGATCAATTGAGCGGGAATGCCTAGAAGAGAAATGTTCATGGGAGGAAGCAAGAGAAATCTTCCAAGATGATTTGAGGACTGTAAGTAACAAACTATTATGGATAAATAGACTTCTGCTGACCTATTATTGTTTCCAATGAACTTTCAGTTTCAGTGATACTTACCTATCTGAAGTGTTAGCAGTTGATAACTTGATAATAAGCCTGTTATTGTTATAAAGAGTAAATGAGCCAAAAAATAGAACATACTAGGAATACTGTTAAAAACATTCCATTCAGAATACTAAATGAGCACTACAAACCATGGCATATTATTATAAAAGTTCTCACAAAGAAGTCCTAAACCAGTCATCATATCTCACATAGCCAAACAGCAGCTATATGAAATCTAAACTGGGCTATCCTATCACACTTTGCAATAATTCATTCGTGATGGCATCAAAGGGTGGGAAAAGCTGGATCACCCTAAATTGTGATCTCTTAAATTACATGCTTCTTTCTTCCAAATATGTTTTTTTGGTTCCTTATGTATATCCCTAATGAAGTTCTCACCTTCTTTGTCATGTTGGCCAACAGGCAACAAATCTTTGGTCTATAACCTCCTTATCCCACCAAACTTGCCCTTCTTCTGGGTCATATCTTAATTCATGCCCAGAAAAGGAAATATGCAGAAAAGGAAGAAGGTAGAACTTCTATTGGCAAAGTACTTCTGAATATTATACAGGCAGATTATTTTTAAATACATACTTTTAGGGTAGGCTCAGGGAAGAACCATTAAAAAAAAAATCGAAAGTATCAGGAGAATCCAAAGCCTGAACCAGTATCTGCATACAGCTTATTGAAATTTGCTCTCAAAGCAAATTTTAATAAGACAGACTAAAGGCCGTTCCATGTTCAAAGTTGTTTGTTTGTTTATATTTCGTATTTCTTAACCACCCATCCCACTCAGAAAGGGTCTCAATGATGCCAAGTAATAACCCCTGTATGATATCACAACAAAGTCGGACTTCAAACATTCACTGAAAATTAGAATGATTCATTCTGGCTATGTTTTCAGTCCAGAAGCAATGATAATTCTCCAAGAAGCTGCAGATTGGGAGCTACAATTGTTCCATCTCACCCTTCTTCCTGCTTTTCTTATTTTCTTCCTGAACCAAAGCTTCCCTGTTTGTCAAATTCTGACACTTTGTTTTGATGAAGGCGTGGGCTACCAACTGTGTCGTGGATTTGGCTGAAAATTGGCTGAATAGAGCACTGACTGGTTCAAACAAGCAAATAACACTTGGGCAGAGGCCCAGTGTTGTTGAAGCCAGTGCTGTTTGAGTCCAAAGGAGCCTAGGATCTCCTAGTTACCTTCTTCAGAAGGGGAAAAAAACAGTTGTTCAGATTATGTTAAGAGAAAGGTCCAAGTCACCTAAAGTAATCTATAGTACCATGGAGGTAAAGCAGGTTTAAAGAATTTTAATGAAATAAATTATACTTGAACAAGAACTAGATAGCATTCCTTCCCCGCCCTGATTTATGCTTATTCTCCCTCAACACCACCACTACTTTCATTTCAAAACTTTTCATTTCAAATCTTAAAATTAAACACTCATTTACACACAAGTTATTGTTTTTCAAACCTTAAAATTTAAACCATAGCTTGCATTCATCTAACCGAGAAAATATATTATCTGCACTTGCACTCAAACCAAAATGACAAATTTAGAATTGCCAACTTGATTGTTTTTAATTCTGGGTTGTTGTGAAAGGAAACACAAAATGATATTTTGTTAGTTCATGTGTACAGTAATGGCACAATCTGTGTTATAGGTAGTTGTAATTCCATCAGCTATGTATATGCTACATAAGTATACATGTATGGGTATGAAGCAAACACATATCAATTTATTTTCATGTGCCGTATCTGGTGCAACATCATATTGAACTGTTAGGATATTTTGAGGCCCTTTTACTAGACTAGCTTTAGAGAAAAATCTCTCTTCCTAGATGCTGTTAAGCTACAACTCCCAGCTTTCTCTTTACAGGTATTGACCATATAGAATACAGATCATGGGAGCTAAAGCCAACTTAAGCAAAACAATACAATGCCTTTGCTTTTAATTTACTTGTGGCTAATTTGTTGAATACATGTCAAGGATCCCCAAAACATTTCTAACTAATAATAAACCTAGAAATGTTTTAAGAGCTAAACTTTATTATGAGAATTAGTGATGAAAGAATTCCTGTCTCCGTACGTTAGAAGCTGAAGCTGATAGCTTAGAAATCTCCTTGTTTCTGTGTTGGCAAATTTTCTCCGGATTGATCACTCCCAGTTATTTTGGATTACTCTACACATCACAGATAGCATAGCTAAAACTAAGCTTCATAGGAATTGTAGTGCAGAACACTTAGGGAATACTAGTTTGGTGAGGATCGATCTAGGTATTACTGTGAAAAAAAATAACAATGTTGAATAATTTGCTTTATATTTTTCCTTCTTCCTAGAAAGAATTCTGGGCAATCTATATAGGTAAGGGTTATTCATTTGAACACCAATTAGCCAATTCTGCCATGAATGCCTTCCTGAAATGTGTGCTAATGTGGAATCCACATTACATATCTGATATTAATACAGTTGAGAAAGTCCAGAAATATTTGACAAGAAGAGTTCTCCACTCCTCTACTCATTGTAGAATATCTTATGCCACCAGAATTGAAATTCTAGACCTAGAAATCTAGAACTACGCCGCCTTTGGTCCGATCTAAGTATAGTATATAAAATCATACATTGCAATGTCCTACCTGTCAATGAATACTTCAGTTTCAACCATAACAACACAAGAGCACACAATAGATACAAACTCAAGGTAAACCGCACCAAACTTGATTGCAGGAAATACGACTTCAGCAACAGAGTGGTCAATGTCTGGAATACTCTACCTGACTCTGTGGTTTCTTCCCCAAACCCCAAAAACTTTAATCTTAGACTTTCTACTATTGACCTCACCCCTTTCCTAAGAGGTCTGTAGGGGGCATGCATAAGCGCACCAACATGCCTACCGTCCCTGTCCTATTGTTTCTTTTTGTTTTTCTTATATGTATCCATTTCATGAATTCATAACTATGTTTATACTTATACCTGTTATCTTATAACCACTTGACAAAATAAAATAAATAAATAAATAAAAATTTTCACAGATCCTGATCAGTGTGACTCCAACCCTTGCCAGAATGGTGGGACCTGTATTGATAGGCCTCAAGACTACTTTTGCATTTGTCCTCCAGAACATGAAGGCAGAAATTGTGAAATAGGTAAATCTTTATTAACTAGATAAAAAATAACATAAGTGTTCTGCCCCTAAAAATTGGCCATCATTCCATATTCTCTCAGCCATTCATTAAAAAATCCAGATATCAGACTATTTTAAAACTGCAGTGGGTAATATCCAGGTTTTGAGACTTGAAGTGTCTTTTTTCATATCACCACGATCTTCAGATCAATATACTTTTGAGTCCTATTGGAGACCTGTGCTTATGCAGTTTTGGACCTGTGCACTCCAAACCAAAGGTGATGCAAACTCATTAGCAAGCAGTATCCTTCCTTCTAAGGGAGCTATATGAATACCAATCCCAATTAATTCTGTCCTCCATTCTTCCTGAGAATCTAGAACATGGAAGCTCCTCTTCCAGAATCTGAAGCCTTCTTAGCCTTCTTTGCCAGTGGCAATGCCACCGCACAACACTTTCCTATCCAAACTGGGAAAATGTTAATTCATGTCTTCTTCTCTATATTTAGGACCAGAAACCAAGCTGAAATGCTTTTTTAAAAATGGCAATTGTGAGCAGTTTTGTGTAGATTCCCCAACCACATTAAGACAGTGCTCTTGTGCAGAGGGATACAGGCTAGCAAGTGACCAAGTATCCTGCATTGCAGAAGGTAAGAATGAGCCATCACACCAATGTGTGGTCATGATATTCCTTTCCAGATAGATGCCAGAGTATAGACCAGTGTTTCTGAACCTTGGCAACATTGGGAGTTGAACTCCATACACCTTAAATTTACTAAGGTGGAGAAACACTGGCATAGCTGGATGCCTTTTTACTATTAATTGACATACAATGAACTGGTCCAAATGCTAGAATGAATTATAAAAGTAGTCAGCCTTCCAGCCTGTTCTAATTTTATCAGTCTCTGTATTGAAATACTGATGTCAAGGTGGAAAGCAGGGACAGCCTGTTGAGCTGACATTCAAACCCTTGGCCAGTGCTCACAGTTAGGACATCTACTTGCACTGGGAGGGAAATGCCTCATGCCATGTCATGCTGGCATTCTTCATGGCTTCAGGTGGGCATCTTTCACCAACCAGGAGATGCCAGGGATTAAGTTGTGCTTCTGCATGCATGAGGCAAAATCAGGTGGAAAGGGTGGTGGTGGGTAAGAATAAGATCTTTCTACAATGAAAACAGCTGTCTTTTAAACAAAAGCATGATGCCTTCTTGGTGTCCAATCCTAAAGGGCCATAAATAGTTGAATCCCTATGAGACAGGCATTGCTTTATTGGAAACAATTTGACCTTGTCCTCAATTGTAGGAGCCAGTAGCATTGCTGGGAATTGCAATTCAATTCCCCCTCTACAAGAAAGAGCCTTGTTTGGGGAAGTTCATATCTCAGGGGGTTGTTTCACTTTCAGACATTGTCATCTAACCTGGAAATCTCAAAACTGTTTCAGAAGTAGGAAAAGGAGAAATTTACTATTGGCCTACCGTTAATTTTTATAATTACCGAAGTATATTTCACGTTGATTTTTCATTTGACAGAAAAGAAAAGATAGCAATTCACACGTAAACATAGTTGGACACTCTTTAAGAACATGAAACTATAGAAGATGAACAGCAAATAGATGTTATTATTATAAGTGAAATACTGCAGTATTTATGTCAAGTGGGGCTTCAAAATTAGAACTTTCGCTATGTGTTTGTGTGGGTGCCTATGTGTATATGCCTATTTGTGTGTGTATGAATGTATATGGGTAAATGCCTGTGTGAATAAGTCTGCACGTTTTGACTTTAAAAAGCATTCACAGTACTATAGTTCAAAATCTTACTGATTAGCTTGAAAATATTTAATATGGTTTTGAAATACTGTTCTGACTATAATATTACAGTTGATTATCCCTGTGGGAAAATACCTGTTCTGGCAAAAAGGCCAAATCAGCAAGGAAGAATCATAGGTGGTTATGACTGTCCTCCAGGCGAATGTCCGTGGCAAGTAAGTATTTGTCAGAATTTAATGCACACTTTAAATTCAAATTAGTTGAATCACTCACATTTGTATAGGCATCCACCCCGTTTCTTTGTATTTTGCAAGGTACATTAAGAGAATGTACATCAAATCGCTATTGTCTATAGTGCACAAAAACAGATTTACAAATTACTGAAGCGATGCAGAACGTTGTGATAGATAAGAGGCCTTTGCTTCTCCTGCCTTTTCTCCCATTACCCCCTTTTTGAGTGTAGTCCTGGGTCAAACAAAATTAAATGCAGCCCTTAACCCAAAAATGCTTGTCCATCTGTGCTCTGGTCTGGATTACTGCTTCATAACATGCAAGCAAATCATGCAATTTGATTATCAAATATTTAGGCGCTCATAACAGAAAATGGAAATGAAAAATGTGGAGGTGTTCTGGTTGCTCCATCCTGGATCATTTCAGCAGCTCACTGCTTTTCTCGTGTCCGCAAAGAAAATCTCAGGATAAGGCTTGGTAAGATGGTTTTTGTTAACTTTCTAAAACTCTGTGAAATTGAGGAGGGAAAAATCACTGCAGCACACAGGAAGATCTATCCCATTAATGTCACCTATATCTTTAAATATCTATTTTCACATCAATTGCTCCTGCACAAGTGGCCATCAACATGAACTATTTAGCACTATATGACTTATTTGAACCGTTTCTATTCTGAAATAAAAAAGCATTCCAAAATAAGGAACAATGGGAACCTGAAACAATGCTCCTTTTCTCCCTTGTTCTTCATCCTGGGGTTACAAACATAAGTAGGATGGTACCCCTTTCAAAGCACGACCTACAATGCAATCTCTGGAAAACTGGCGAGGAAGTTTTTAAAATAAATATTAAATATTATGATTACGATTCATTGCATAGTTAGCCAGATATTTAGATTAGATTTAGCATTTTTGTCCACCTACCAAGTCCTTCCCAAGAACCTGGGATAGGCAGGATGTGAATGTTTGATTGTGCTAAAGGTATCATCGCAGAATGTAAGTTATTCTGAGTAAAGCTGCCTTTTGCAATTGACTGGTGGTGACTTTTCAGTGCTGATGGTGTTCAAGTGATGCTCCCGATGTTTTGGGATTGCATTCAAGGTGCCTTATAACAATAATGATAAAAACCTTAAGTCCCATGATATGAGAGCAGCAGCTACTGTAAGTATATATTTTCCAGCCAAAGTCAGACAGATGTAGTGTAAGCATAGCAAAGCAGCAATGGATTCATTTGAGCACACACTGCAAACAGTAACTAAAGTACCAATTTGTTTCAAGGTCAAGGCAAAACTTTGGAACATGGGTATGTCTCAAACTTGGCACACTTGAAACAGCCATTTTGAGCTAAGCAAAGTTTTGTGTTTGAAATGTTCTGCACAGTTCTCAAAAAATGAGTCCTCAAAATCAGATTTTATATTCCAGAAAGAATATCCTGATTCAGTAAATACTATCAGCAACAGTAATCCAGTACGATAAAAGGATGATTTAAAAAACTTTCCATGGAAAGAGAGAAATAAAGAAATAAAAATATTTCTATTGTAAAAGAGCAAAAAAATAAATAAAACTTTTTGTATTCATTAACTTCCAGAAGATGAAGAGATTAATTAGGCCTTGTGCCTCGTGAAAAGGTTGTTATCTTCTAAATAAATCAATTATTGCTTTTTTCAGGTGAATACCAAATTAACCATAGAGATGAAGGTGAACAAGAAAGACGAGTTGATGAATTAATAATCCATGAAAAGTATTCTTTCAAAACCGTTGACAATGACATCGCCTTGCTACGATTATCAGCCCCAGTCAATTTCTCTGAGTATGTGGTACCCATCTGCTTGCCACCTCCTCGATTTACAGCAGACATATTAAACTATGTTGAATTCTCCACAGTGAGTGGGTGGGGGCGTCTCTTGGAAGGCGGATCTACTTCAGCACTTCTTATGCGAGTGGAAGTCCCCAAAATACACAAAAAGGAATGTGTTTGGCACACTAAATTCAATATTACAGACAACATGTTCTGTGCAGGTTATCTCGATGGGAGTAAAGATTCTTGTGAAGGTGACAGTGGTGGACCTCATGTAACTGAATACAAAAATACTTGGTATCTAACGGGACTTGTGAGCTGGGGTAAAGGGTGTGCTGCAATAGGAACATATGGAGTTTATACAAAAGTTATAAAATATCATCAGTGGCTAAATAACCATATGGATTCCTAATACATATTGCTTCCAAATTTCCCTTTCTTTGCCCAAATCCATAATATTTAATGTTTGAATTTAGCTTATAACTGGCTTATATATTTTAAATTAGATTCTACATTTTAAATCTGTAGTAAAACTTCAATTTAATTAACTGCCATTAAATAATTTGAATGCTAAGCACTTTCATCCATTCACAATACAGTGGTACTGTACTCCCTACTCAATTATTTCAAAACTTGTTAAATTTAGTACTCGACACATTTTGTCACAAAAATGTCCCAGTACTTGTGGTTTGTTTGTGCTATGTGCTATGATAAGAAAAGGGGGAAGGATACGGAGAACAGATAGGAAGTCAGCCATACTGGGAAGGTTGCTTCAAAAGAAACAGGGGACGGTTGCAGAAGGTGGACAGAAAGTTGGTCATTCTGGGAAGGACACTGACATAAGAAAAGGGACAGACAGGAAGTCCTTCCTGGCCAAACTAGGGTCACTTGATAAATCACATGGTTTATTTGGTTCTCATCATTTTTACTACTCGTTGTAGCTCCAAGAACCAATTAATGACAAGTAATGAGGCACCACTGTAATGGACCAATCCCTTGGATTTAGACAAGGCATTTGAATTTATTTGAAATATTTCTTTATTCACATTATTTGAACATGATGTAGCTACCCAAATAACCTGATCATGCCATTTGCATAATGCTGTCAATACACAAATTATATCCATTAGAGATGTTCTGAAATAATGGATATTTTATTGCTATATCGCTGATTAAATTGAGTTTATACTTTATTGATTTCTTAAATTAGCTAATAAAAACATTTAAAATAAATTAACTTCTGGCGTGATAGGGACTCTTGTGTGTAATTTCATAAAATATCATGGAAAATATTTTGTTTAAGAGCTGGAAAGCATAATTAAACATTTGGTTCATTGTGTTTCTGATTGCTCTGGATATTTTCATATGTGGAGGTTTTTCGGGGGAGAAGTCATCTGTGTTTCTACTGGCTTGGCCCATTTTGTATCAAGTGTCACAATTTTGCCCACAAAAAATACAACAGCTGTCAGTCAAATATAGCCCCCTTGGATGTCTGACTGTTTGGAGATTCGTAGTTTAATAAATGAAACACACACTAGATTTTGAAAAGCTTCTCAAGACTGCAAAACTGGATAAAGGGAGAGCTTCTAATCTACCACATAAGCTAAATGTTCTGATTGAATTAGAACGTTATTTGAAATATTAGGAGTTTATAAAACTTAGAATCATGTTTGATTCTACAGATCTGATGCTTCTGCTACTATAATTACCAATCTCAGCACCATATCTATACAGCAGAATTTTGTAGTAACCGTATAACAGAGTTGGAAGGGACTTTGGAGGTCTTCTAGTTCAACCCCAGCTCAAGTAGGAAACCCTATACTACCCCAGACAAATGGCTGCCCAGTCTCTTTTTAAAAACCTTCAGTAATGGAGGGCCGACACTTCTGGAGGCAAGCCATTCAACGGATTGTCTTGCCCTCTCTTCTGAATACTTAGGCCAATTAACCCTGGAGAAGGTCAAATCAATAATTAGAGAGAA